GGCAGTGACCCCTAGCGGCCAGCGCCCGGGGACCGGGCCGGCGGGGTGGGGCTCCGGGGGGCGGGTGCCCGCGCTGCGCGGAGCATGGCCGCGCGCAGAGGTGTCCGAGCCCGGGCGCCTTCTCCGGGCCTCTTTCCCACGCTGGCCCCATTTAACAGACGGGGAAACAAAGGCGGGCAGGCGGCTAGCCCACGGGCGCACACGCACCCAGGGCTGGGGCCCCGTCGCCCGCTGGGGGCTGTCCCGCACCTCGTGGACGCCCTCGCAGCAGCGCTACCAGAGAGCACAGAGCAGGACGGGGGGGTCACATAGGGATCCTGTTCTCATCCCTACACCCCACCCCCCTTGCAGGAGTGCCTGCTCAAAGGACGGCCCCGCCCCCGCCCCCCGCGAAGCATGAATGGCGCTCTGCCCCGTTGGCTGGCATTTTGCGCGTTCGCGGTGGACTAGAGTCCTGAGAAAGCGTTGCTTCCCCGTCTGCATTCCCTGCGGAGCACCCCCACCCCCGTCCCGCCCATTCGCCGCCGGGGCGTCCGCGCGTCCTAGCGGGGCGGGCTTCTTGCCCAGTGGATGGGGGCCTGGGCCCTGGGCAGCCGGAACCGCCCTCTCCTCTGCCTCTGCGGCCCTCCCACCTCGCCTCCTGACCCAGGTCGGCGAAGCGACCACCACCGGGGCTGCGCCAGAAGTTCTCGCCAGCTTCACCCCCCATCCCTCCCGCCCCCTCCCAGCGGCCCGGAGCAGAGGGGGCGTGGTCTGTTTCTGATAAAATGTAAATTCTAGTTCCCGGGAAGAGAAGGAGCTGCGGGAACAGAGACAGAGAAGGCGCCGCTTTCCCACTAGCTGGGATCTCCCCTCCCCCAGTCCCTGGGTTTCCCGCTGCAGCCGGTGGTCTCCTTGGGCCCACACTGCGGACTAGCACGTAGACCTCATGCATTGAACAAACGCGGTCGGGGGCTCAGATCAAACCCTGTGCCCGGCTGGGGACGCAGGCATCTTCCGCGGCTTGAGGGCATGAAGTCAGTGGGGCGCTGCAGACATAGAAACTGGTATGAGCTTTCCCTGTAGTGGGGTTTCAGAGGTGTAGGCACAGACTGGGGTGTGTGCCCAGGAAAGTGCCCAGTTCCTCCTGGGGGTGGGTTAGGGGTCAGTGAAGGTGTCAGGGGCAGGGGACACAGGAGCAGAGCGAGTCTTCTGGTGGTGAGGCATTTAGGGGACTGGATTTGAAGTAGAAGGGTCGGCATGTATGAGGAAAAACCAAAAACCCATTGTTGACAAGTCCGTTTGGACTTGTAATGATCCTCCAGGACCCTATAGAGTTGAGCAGAACTCTTCCATTGGGTTCTCAAGGCTGCAATCTTTATGGACACAAATTGCCATGTTCTGCATTGCAGCGGCTGGCTGTGGGGGTTGAACCCCCAACCTTCCCGTTAGCAGTTGAATGCTTAACCACTGGGCTCCACCAGCTCCTTGCTGGGTCAAGAGGGACACACAAATGGCTGTGGTTTGAGCATCAGACTTGAGCTTGAATACAGGGTAGACCCTGGGAGAGTTTTAAGGTGATGAACGTCCTATCAAATGTAGTTTGTAGTGCTCCACCAGGCAGCCAGACCCTTCCCCACTAGCTGCTGAACACTTGAATGGGGTAGAGACTAAGGCTGTTTGGGGTTCATTGTTGCGGCCCTAACAGGTCTGACCCTGGTACATTGGAGGGGCCAGCGGGCAGGATCTAAGAGGACAACCCCAGGTGCTCTGGTGCCCTTGGTTAAGCAGTCTCATCTGCTCTAACATTGGGCTTCCGGAAGGGTGTGTTGGGGGTAGGCATGACTACACGGTAAGGCAGAAAAGGCGGACAGGGAAACGAGTAGACTGGGTAGGACGGTCCTTCACACATCATCTTGAAACAAGGCCCCAGAGCATGCAAAGCACCTGAGCATGGTGTGTGTGTTTGTGGGGGGTGTCTGTGAGGTGGCTTTCAGAGGACCAAAGAAGGGAGTCAGGGAGGGAGCCAAGAGAAATCAAGCGAGAGCTCAGGCCTCCTGAGAACCAGCTCACTCGACAAAGGCTTTTTGGAGTGCCCATGGTGTTAAACTCCAAACGCGCTCCCATCGCGTCCATGCTGGCTCCCGGGTAGGACTGCCCCTGTGTGGGTTTCTGAGAGTGTGACTGTTTACGGGAGTCCAAAGTCCCCGTCTTTCTCCCAAGGAGCCCCGGGTGGTTTTGAACTGCTGACACGTAACCTCTGTGCCACCAGGGCTCTCAAGTCACCATCTTAGAAGGAGGAAGCTGGCTAAGAGAGCACCCTACCAAACAAGCTGGCCTCCAGAGGGGAGAGCAAAGGCTGCTTTCTCACTGCACAGCACAAGGATGGCTTCTGGGAGAAGCGGTGGCTGGCCGAGGCCCTGAAGGACGGATGGCGTTCGGACCGAAGTGGGTGGAACAAGAGACCTTCACCTTGCACAGGAACCCCTAGTGCAAGGTCGCGGAGGTGGGAAAGATTCGCGCCGGTATGGCAACAGCAGGCGGACCAGTTTGCTTTGCATTCTGGGCACATGTAAAAGAAAGTGACAGGAAGGTGTAGCCAGGTCACAAACGATCTGAAAGGTGTCTTTAAGTCACAGGACGCACAGGACCACGCACCAGGAAACTGGACTCTGGCCAGTGCTCTTATGCTGGAAACTCAGGTGGAATTCTTGCTGCTTTCCTCTTCGTCAACCACCATATTCCGATTCAAAACCAAACCCTGTCGATTAGGCCTTCAGCGTTGTTAATAGGTGCCTTCAAGCCGGCTCCAACCCATAGCGAGAGACCCTGTGTACAACAGAATGAAACACTGTCTGGTCCCAGGCTCACAGGGGTTGTTACATTGTTGCTGCCATTGTGTTAATCCAGATCACTGAGGGCTGTCCTCTTATTAGCTGATCCTCCACTTTACCAAGCCTGGTACCCCTTTCCAGGGACCAGGCTCTCCTGATAACATGCTCAACCGATGGGAGATGAAGTCTCGCCATCCTCTCTTCCAAGGCACATTCTGGCTGTACTTTTCGTCCTAAACACATTTGTTTGTTCTGCTAGTCGACGTTATAGTCCATATTCTTTAAGGACATCCTGATTTACAGGCGCCGATTCCTCTTCAGTCGTACTTACTCACTGTCCGGCTTTCCCACGCACATGAGGTGACTGAAAACACCTTGACTTAGAGGAGGCACATCTTAATCTTCAAAGTGACATCTTTGCTTCTTCAAACTTTAAAAAGATCTTTTGCAGATTTGCTCAATGCAATGTGTCCTTTGATTTCTCCACTGCTGCCTCCAGCAGCATTGATTGTGGATCCAAGTAAGGAGAAATCCTTGACCACGTCAAGCTTTTCTTCGTTTGGTATAAGGCTGTTTACTGGTCACATTGAGTTGCAATCTATGCTGAAGGCCGTAGGTGTCCACTTAGACCAGCAAGTGCTTCAAGTCCTGCTCACACTGCTCACGTCCTTGCAAGCAAGGCTGGGTCATCTGCATGTTTCAGTTTGTTAACGAGCCTTCCTCCAATCCTAATTCCGAGTTCTTCTTCATATACAGTGAACCCTCGTCACTTCGCGCTTCGACTTGCGCGGCTTCACTCTATCGCGGTTTTTGCGTAACCGCGCATGCTCTGTCATTACTGCCACTGATTGGCTCATACTGTACACGCTTCTGTCTGCATCGCTACGTATCGGAGCTACGTATCAGATGCATTTTTGCTTTTGTACAGTGTACTGTAATTGTTTGCGATTTTAAAGAAATTTTATCTAAGCCCTATGATGGCTCCTAAACGAGCTGCTTCTTATAAGCCTTCTGACAATAAAAATAAGCACCAGAGGAAGATGCTCACCATCCAGGAAAAGGTAAAACTTTTGGATATGATCAAAGATGGCAAGAAAATCGTGGAGGTTGCACGCCATTTTGACTTGAATGAGTCTTCTGTTCGCTCCATCCGTTGTACTTCATAATATAATAAATAATAAATGATAATTGTAACGTCCAAAATGTTTTACTGCATTGTCCCTTTTTCGTTTAATAAATTGGGTAATACGAGTG